CGAAGCAGATTGTATGGGGTTGTTCGGCTGTTTGCTACTCCTTTTTTACGAAGGAAGCTCTATAGTTCATCAAACACGAAGACTGTAGCACGATCGGAATGTACGTCATACAGCATCCCAAATAGATAAAATAACTGGATGAAGTAGGGTCTCGTATTGTTGTGCGGACAGAAAAAAACGGTCAACAGACAAACCCATCGGTGTGAATTTTCTCATTACTGCATTTATTTATCCTTCTAAGGATTTTCTGCCTCCATTTTCCACTGATTGCTTCACTACCGTGAGGAAGTATTTGATTTTAGCACCACAAAACTCACGAGCCTAGTATTCCCAAATGGTCTGTCCTCATCTATGCTCAAACCTGGAGCTGGTCTACTCACCGAAGTTTTCATATCCCTTATCAATAAATCTATTCATGCATGTTCAATCTATCTGCTATGACTGCCAGTCTGTCATCAACTTTTGTCCCACAAGACTTTCCCAGCAACTTCCAGTCAAAAGACAATTACGAAACAGTAGGGCGTCGATTGTCAGAGTCAGAAACTTCGTTAACTTGGGGAAGGACTTACTGCATTTTAGGTGTTCACAGTTGAGATTTCTTCATAATGGAAAGTACAATAGCACCGATGGAGCGGATGAACCAATCAGACAGCAGCATACTGTCTGTTTATTTATTATAAACTTTTGTGTGATGAACAGCAGACGCCGTAGGCCCATTGTTACGAGGATCAGCGGTTCAGTCATGGAAACCAGCAGCCTAAGCTTCAAGACCGATTGGCGAACCACAGAAGACCCTATTAGAATGAGCTCGACAGGCTAAAGTTCTCCAGTAACATGTCCAAAGACATTTGTAGAATTTGAATTCTTTCTTGTCGGCGTTTAACCATCCTCATGCGACGCATGCAGACCTGTACCTCATACAATGCAGCTCCTCATTTTCGCAGGATTCTGCCGGCCACTCAGCGGAATCCATTGTTTCCATAACGTCGTACTAACGCCCATTGACCTGGAGCGAATAAACGTTGCTAAGCTTCTTATAGCCGATTGAACTGTTCTTTCATCTTACGATTTTTTCAGTATTGTTGGTAACTGAGGGTAACATTGAACGGCATTCTTCACTTTTTCTTCATCTTCGGGGCCAAGTCCCAGGGTCTTGGGTTACCGGTTTCCATCACTATTACCATGACTATGGGGTTCAATATGTCTGCTTTTCATTACACTTGAGTGTGTAATAAAAAATCAAGGCTATCGCTGGTCGTGAGTGATACTTCGAAGGTCATCGATAAAGTAACAGTAACCTTTCGATGCCTTATTCGGTTGCCTCCCCTTCTTTTGCTCTCCGTTTAGCCGTTCGATTATGGGTGGAACGGTGGGGATCGTATGTAGTGCTTCCTTGTCCTTGGTTTCACAAATCATCGAGACATGAACTGGGTCTCACGTTGCTAATGTGCACTTCTGGGACACCGAATTGACTGAAACGCTGGCGGATATTCGCGATTGTTGCGTCTGGCGTTGTGCTGTCCATTGTGACATTCAGTACCGGTTCATAGCTTGTTTTCCCTCAAGCTTCTTTAGCTGTCAGTGATTTATTACGTAGAACAACGGTAATGAGGAAGTATCGTCTGGTTCTGCCAATATCGAAGTAATAATACTTTCTTCGGGCTCCGGTCTTTGAGAATTGATAAATCTTGACTGCGTATCTGCTTGGACGAGCGATGTAATGGACCGATAGTGGATCTCAAAACAGCGGCTGAGAAGGACGACTAGTCAACATTGAAGCCGATTATCACACATTTTTAGTGTGACGAACAGCAGATGGAGTGAACTCCATAGTCACGAGGATCTGTTGTTCAGTCATGGAAACCGACAATCTAAGTTCCAGGACTTGGAGTGACGACCTGGTATTCAGCCGGACAACAGCGAATTTGCCTACTCCCAAAGTTGATTGTCAGTGACGGGGTTCGAACGCCGGTGACAGCGACTTAAACCGCTTGACTACCACTGCCGGCTCGGCGGGTGGTATAGAGTAGAATGTCTTTTTGTTTGAACCATGAAGAGCGCGGATTAACGACCACAGCATGTTATGAAACTTCTCTGCTGAAATAATGGTCAACACTACGTTTTCTATCTGACTGTAGTTGCACTCTGCTGCTGGCAAACATCTGTCGGAACGTGAAATGGTATTTTTTGATCCATCTGGAAATTTATGAGAGATCAGTGCTCCAGTTTCACTGTTTGACTCACCAGCTGCCACGATGATATAAAGCGTGGGTGGAAGTGTGTCCTGAATAGGTCTGCGTCGAGCAAGGACTTTACACGATGGAAGCTATTCTGTTTGGTCTTTAGCTAGAAGTCTGTTCATCGGAGTTCGGACGCAGTGCATGCCAGGAAGAAACACACTGTCTTGACTTATGAGGCCCATGAATGATCTGGGTGTAATTGATGCAGATTTGACACCGAAAGGCAGGTGATGATCCTGGAACAAGCCGCGACGAGTGTTTATCCTCAGTAATTCTTTTGAGTCATTAGCGACGCTCACTTGGTGATATGCGTACAATGCTTGAAGTTTGTAAAAGCAATTGCCATCATTTCGTTTGGCAAAGATATCTTCTGGTATCGGAATTAGATATTGATGATCTAGCAAGGTGTTCAAACCCGTTGAAAAAATCGGGACAAATGCACATCCTGCCATTGGCTTTCTGGACGAACACAGTCGAAGCTGCCCATGATGATCACCGGCTTGCTGGTGGTAGATTGCTGCAGTCGGTCTACTTTCACGTCGACCAAATCGATGGCGGTGTCGGGTACAGAGCCTTTAGACCTAAACACTCGCTTGGAATCTGGCATCAGTGAAATGGAGACAGGAAACTTTGTGCAATGACCGAGGCCTTCCTGGAATATATATGCGAATTTCTGTTTCCGTGATTGAATCTTGTGTGCCATCGTGGATAAATGCATGTTCTGCATTATCACCTAATAGCATTCCTCGTTCAAGGGAGTAAACAATCCAAACTTTTCCATTCGAAGATATTTAGGTTTGTTCGAATTGCCAATAACAGGTCTCATTGTAATAATGCCTCGGAAGGAACTGTCACGATTGATTTGTTCGGTCAATTTGAGCTCACAATCTGACTCCCTTTTCGCAATTTTGGTAGACGGAGTAATTTCTGGTCTCCCAATACCCTTCCATGTACCTTTGGAAATTAGAGTGATGCCCGAGGCTGTGTCCAACTTCAGTTTGGCTGATTTATCATTGATGAGCACAGTGAGAAATTTTCGCTAATTGTACTTGTCCACTTGAGATATTAGTTAGAAACTTTAGTATCGACGAAAGACAGCTGAGTCTCGTCTTTAAATGTTCTATCCATCTTTCCAAATGGCGTACCTAACGGTAATAATCTGTACCTTATGACTTCGTGATTACCTTTGATACGCCTATTTGCCACGAACACGTACTTCTGATTGGGCGAAAAATGATGCGACTGCCAGTATTAGCCACGGTCTTCTCCATCTCCTCACATTGTATGATCCACCACACTCTTGATGAACTGGCGGAGGTCGGAAAAATCCATCAGCGTTACTTTATGCGTTGGAATTAGTCGTTTTAAGAGATTTTCCAATAGATGTATTGTTCTGCTCGCAATGATGATCGAATTCTTTGAAAAGCGACGTTAGATCTGTGCTCGAAAAGCCCATTTTATAATTATCGCTTACGGTAAACTGTGGGCTTCTGTTTCCAGTAACTTTGACTTGGTTCCGTAATGATTCTGGACAGTACCTGGCATACAGAGGATCATGCCCAGTGTACTAAGGTGCAAACCATCGAGTGCGACTGCGTGGAAGGGATATTTTTTGGCGGTGTGTTTTAACAATGCAACCGACTCGATTCCGTTGCTGAAAACAGCAAGGTTTCTATTCGAAGCGATGCTTTTTTGTGAGGGCAGTTTCAGTTTGATTAGAATAATTGTTGACGTGTTTGGAGCTGAGGTAGGCGATTGCCGTTGTCCGATTAAATTGGCGCGCATACTAGTCACATTAACGTTTTTCTCATTCATCCAAGAAACATAGGGTGATCCGATAGTGGCACTTCAATCTACTCGCTTTATGCACGTGCCTATTTCACTGTCATTCCATATTTTCTCGTTATTCCCTTCCGGTCTCACTTACGTTTACTCCGTCATTGGTTGTTCCAATAGATTACCGGAAGATGACAATCAAAACGGGTGCACAAAACTGCATTTTTCTCAACTGTAGAGACTGAAATAAAAACTCTAAATTCTTGATTTATCTCTCCAAGCAGTATGCAATGATAGACTTATGCTAACTAGTTTTATTATCAGCTTTATTCCTACTTATGGAATTAGAGAGTGCTTGCCATTCCATAAGCTAGAGATTCAGAATCGTAAAAGAAACCCTGGCATTCATGGAGTTCAGTCAAATTAAGCCATCTGACTGGTTCATATCGCCGCGTGATATGTGAGTTAAAAATGCATAGAACGTATGATTCAGAGTTAGTAGTTCACAATGCGCACAAAATATGTGCGTATTTAATGAATATGACACTTATGTAAGACATTTCCAGCACTAGATCATCACTATGAGGCTGTGGTTAGGTGTAATGCGGGCCGAACGGTGTTATTGATCCGAATAGATTGCAGTCTTTTCCCATCGGATGAGTACATGAAATTCGGTAACTAAATTGTGAGTCTGCATCTCATGATCGAAATGCAGATCACTGAATTATTTTCAATGTTACTCACTGTCCAACGATACCATTTAATGATCGGTAATGACCTCTAGTTTCTTAAATACTTTGTTCAATATTATTGATAGTTTTTTCTGGCTTTTTCCTTGTTACAATGCGATCGTCAGATTAGTGTTTCAGTTAAGGTAAAAATATTGTTGTTCACCATTTGACGTATATTATTGGTTTCTCCGTTCATTTATTTTCAGAGATTTTTTCGAATTGTGCACATGACTTTCAGATAGCGCGTGTTAGAATGGACTGGCGGCTTCTTCTGGCTTTGGCCGCATTGTGCCTATTAGGGCACTATGGCCCGATGTTCTTCGTGTACATTATCGTGGCGTTGCTTTTTTTTATCCTCGGGTAAATGCACTTGTTCACGTTTTAATGTTATCCGAAAACCAGCTTACTATTATCCATGGAGAAACCTTTGCTTCATGAGATCTTCTCTCAACACAAGTGCACCAGTAACAAGGGAATCCCTATGGTTAGTTCATACTTACTGTTTATAGCTTTTTTGTATTGCACAGGTCACCGCAATTATGGATTCCGAAGGCGTTCCGAAACCGAGTATCAAAATGTCTCCATCTCCGGCCTTAGATGTTGTTTTCAACCAGGTAAATGTAACTTAATCATCTTATCGATGATCTTTTCTCGATGATCAGATCATATCTTATATAATCAGAGATTACATCTATTCGTGGTACTCACCACTGACACCAGACTCCGTGTTTCCATCTGAGTTGCATCGGTTACTTCAACGGATTACAGCTAACACCTCAAGAAAGTGTGTTTCCCATTTTCCGTTGTTTTCTATTATCCATTTATCAGAGTTGCTGAGGTGAATTGGATTCCCTTCTTGACGGAAGTCTTGCCGGGCGATGTGGCCTCTCATATTCGTCTGTACCGTTCGATGCTAGAACGTCAGGCTTCCTATCCTGGCCAAGGTATACCGAATTGTCCGTAAATGTTTCTTTCCCTCTCTCCCCTTCTCCGTCTTCCAGACCACGTGAAATTGTTCTTTGATTGTGAAGTTGAAACCGAAAAAACAATTTGTCGTGAAAGTATTTGCATATCACGAGAACAGGAACAAGGTATGGATTTTCGATCATAATGGCGGATCAATTTATAGAACATTTACGAGGTGTGAGCGATCTATTCCTGTTTCTTATTCTACCCCTGGAGGAATACCGGGTACCAGCTGTGCGATACATTGCTAGGGTTTGTTAATTCATTTTCTCGTTGAATTGTTTTCTCTTTCTCTCCCTCTCTCTGTCTTATCAGGAGTTACTTGTCAATGCCGTCCTCATACCCGTGATCGATCTACTGTCCGATCCGGATTTTGTAAATCGTTCCGTCGCTTGGTTTGTACGTTTTCTTCACTACGCATAAATAATACGTTTTGCGTTTCGGTTTGATTTCACTCTTTCAGTTTATCTGCATTAGCACCTTGATTAGTTGTCGAGTTTTTTTGAGATGCTTTTAATCTGGTTGAAACTTTAGCACTTTTTGCGAGGCTTTACTTACTTTTCCTCCATATTGACTGTTTGCTCGTCTTATCATGGGTTTGATTCCAATCACAAGGCTGAACAATGATGTGGTACTTCTAGTTCATGCTCATCGACTTTTATCACGTGGTTGCATGATATATGACATAACAGTATCATGTTTGACGTACACATCATTTTCATCTCTCGTTCTCAAGTTAAGACGGGAATAGTTATGGTCACACGGTAGTGAAGTTTCGAGTCTAATACTCGTTGGAATATTGTCTCTTCATTCGGGTTATAAAATGTAGTTGTGAAATTCAAAAGGCAGATAATAATTGTATAGGAAAATTGTTGAATCCGTGATCGTTTGAACTCATTGATCCTAAAGTCTGCCTGATAAAAATGCTTGCGTAGATGAGCGGTAATATACAGGTATCAACATCATGATCATTACCATTGTTAAATACAGATAGGTGAACGTCACTGAGCGTTACCAAACTCATACCATACACAAAAAAGTACGAATTTGTAGGATGGTCAAGTATTTGGCTTGTGAATCAATGTTGCCAAGAGAGTGTACACACAACTATCTAGGCGGAGAAACAACCAACTTCAGCACATTCTTGACCATCCATAGTTTCGAAGTAGGGATAGTTCACACAGCCTTACAACATCGCCACTCACTTTGCGAGTGCAAAGAGCGCATCAATCCATTTTTCCATCTTTTCATTTTACTTCCTTTTATTGTGTGCTTGTGAAGTGGCCACTTCACAAGCACTGATGATGTCACCTCGGCTGGTGATGAAATGTTTGCAAACAAATTTCCAAGCTCGGTGAACAGACGAAATAGAATTCAGTTCACCCGAACTACGAGAACAAATTTCAGCAGATTCACAGACTATCTATGAGAGGGATAGGATTAGTATTTATGAAGATTGGAGGGGGTGATGGTGCTTAAAATAAATTATGACCCCACCTGCTCTTCCGCGGGTGAAGTCTTTTCTAATAAGGGAGTAGCCTGGTATCGTTACTTCGCCGTTGGCGAAGTCCGCCTCGAGCCAGGTTTCTGTCAGCATTAAAAATTCTGGGTTATTGTTTAGTGTAAGCTGCCTTTATTCTCGAATCTTATTGGGGAGGCTGAGGCAGTCGCAATAAAAGCATTTAAAAATTCGCTCATCATGAGGCGAAGAGAAGGGAGATAAAGAATGTCACTATTTCGGACCAAAAGTCTAAGAAATTTTGGGAAAAGGTGAAATTTTTTCCTTTAAATCAGGGAACCAAGGAAGGAAAATGACAAGCTTTGTTAGTACGGTAACAGACAGTGCGTGAGAACGGTGGTGAACGTGCTCGTTTTCGGTGATTCCTCCCCTGGCTAATACATCATAATTTGTATTAACTGAAGCAGGCCTTTCCCGAGATAAATTTCAAAAGAAAAGATAATATTGCAATACTGCATGATTTATGTCCAGGACGATTTCGCTGCATCTCAGCATGGTGCATACTGCAGAGAATACGATGTTTATATAGGGCTTTAGCATGGCAACAAAATAAAGCGAAACACATTAAAACAGACAAAAAATAAAAAGGGGAGAAGGGTAATCCCTTCAGTAAACCTTAGCAATCTTGCGACGCGTGACTGTAGACGATTGGAAACGCTGTTTCGGTCGATCTTGTGTTGCGTCATCAGCAGATGTCAAACAATTGCTGGGACCGGGGTCTTCTAGTTCCGACCATTGTTTGTATGCAGCGAACTCGACCTCGATTGGGTCATCTGATTTTGGACCCATTTTGGGATATGCTCCACCACCCGATTGCCCCATTGTCGCTCTGTTCCGCTCATTTAGGTCGGTCCGCAACCACATTGGAATTGGTAGATTAGATTGGAGTTGGCGTACAGAGGCAAACGTTCTTTTGCCGGGTGTGTTGTCCGGTAGACTATTTGGGGGTCGGATGCATAGTAGGTTCGAGCGATTGCTGATCTCAGTCGTTTGTTAAGCAGGCGGTTTACGTCATCGCCTTTGAACTGAAGGTACAATGTGACCCGCAGTTTTGAAGCTGATGCAACCGGTTCTTTCGCAATTCTCGGTTTGCTATGCTTATTAATAAACGCTTCGGGGTAAGCGTTTTATGCTAACAACTCTCGAAGCTTTTGCAGTTCTTGTTCAATCCTGTCTTCCGTGCAGATTCGCCTGGTTCTGTCAAATAAGGTCCGAACAAGATCACGTCTATACATAAGGTTTTAGGGAACAAAAATTCATTACAGATGGGGGTAAAATCACATTTAGCTCCATTACCGGATGCTGCTCACCCTTTCGTCTTCACACGTACGCATAGGTTTGGGTCATTAAAAGGATAGGGGATGACTTAGTCAAGTGTGATGGTGACCATGGGAGTTGGTTGCTCAGACATAAATAACGTTCTAGGGAGGTTAAGTCACTGGGCTGAGATTTGCCATGTCCGAAAAGAAAGTATATAGTAAACAGCTTGAATAGAGTCCGTGAAAATTTTTTATTAGGATTACTCAGTGCTAGGCCGCACGTGCTCGAAGTACCTGCACATTTCACCGATAATCTCCTTGCTGAATTTCTGGCCTATGCATAAACACGGACGCAGACGCATCGACTGGTTTTTCAGCCGAGGATTGTTCTGCTCCATGGTCCTTACAACCGATGTCTGCATTGTTTCTCCTTGTCGGTCTTCGACCATTTTCAAACCACTCTTTCTGATTGAATAAAAACTGGTACTTCTATGCGGACTTATCTTGTTGCTAATCAGTAGAACAATTGATACTAGGGCTAAAATCCCATGAGCGAAGGTTAAGAACGTGCAAGTGATAAATTACCACGGGAAACGGTGTAGAAGAGAAAATATATGCGGTATCGAATGATTTCTACGCTCCCGAAAGACGGTGAACCTCAGATTTCGTTAAGGATAAACTCGGTTTTTCGCTTACAGTGTCTTCGAAGTCATATAGTTCACTCCCCCTCATTCAAATTAACTGTTTTGTGATAAAAGGGACAATTCCGAAAATGTTTTGTGAACCGTATCAGGTGCATAGTTGGAAAAGTATAGAGCAATGCAACACTCGGCAGCCGAATGTTTTTCCCGTCGGACGCTTTGTACTCTCGTTTCACTATGCTCGCTCTACTAATCGCTCCACTGATGATTGGCTTTCGTTTTTCAGGCTAAGGATAGTGCATTCACCAGCGAATATTTCGTGCAAGCACTGAAAATGTCGGATAGTACAGAAGAATTGCAAGTGGTCCGTGGTCGGGATACAGGAGGGGATGATGGTAAGTTCCGTTTTCTCTCTGTCTCTCTGTTCTGCATCTATCTGGTGCATTTGGAGTTTCAGTTTCGTTCATTCACCCAACGAGGTACATTGCTGTCGTGTCTCAGAAACACCCTCTAACAGAGAACAACTCGTCCCCTTCCCCCGAATCAAACTAATATTTTTACGGATTGGTGAAACGTATACCTTTTTCAGTTGGGGGTTTTGATCGTGCAACTATAAATTACAGCTGGTGAAAAGCTGTGCGACTTGATGATGTTTCTCTGTTCGAATGTGCAGAGGATTGCCAAAGTAAACCTGATAGAAGAAAAAGTTCTGTAACCCAATGCAGTATGCAATTTGCACTTTCAAAGTGCAAAGTGATGCTGTAAGAATTGGTATTACCTAATCTCTCTTTGAAAATCAAGGTTAGGCATGAGTTAGAGTCGATTGGCTCTCCTACCCGGGCAGTTGTATGATTAATGACGATAACGCAGAGAAGCGGATAACTGCAAACATTTCCAAAACTCGAGTAGTGTAAGAAACATCTTCAGTGTAGGCGTGAAATTTTCCTCGAATTTAGAATGTTGTGAATATTGCGTCGCTGTTGTGAGACCGTACATTTCTGAATAGCAAATATGCATGGACTAAAAGTTTTTGTCTATTATTGCTTACGTTCCCTGGCACAGGTGAGCGGTTTAGTAACCTAAAGGTCACTCGTCGTGTGTTTGGGAGTTTAGTGGGTATTGATATGCTAGCGCATCAAACTAAACCGAACCCCTGTTCATCTTTCGTTCTTCATTTTGTGTGCATTACGAGTTTGGCAGCGATCACTAAAGTTCACTTCTTTGTATTTCTCTGTACAATGAGGATGTTGATGAATGTGGACACAAGATCTTTTCACAATTGAACTGGTTATCATTCCATGTTGAACTGTTTACTTGATTCCAAACTCTCGCTAGATAATGTAGGCAGTTGCACTTTTCCTTTTAGATGCTTCAATCAAGGCGCAACTGGGCAGTTTGGAATATGTTCGTAAGATCTGCACCGCTCGACTGCGACAAATTAGAGAAGGGATTACTGAAAAGGTGAGCACCTTTTCACTGAGCTTTTTCCACGTGTCCCTTGTGTCTCATCATTTCGTTTTTTCTATTTTATCTCTAACAGCCAGAACATCTAGTGGCCTATCATCTTCAACCAGGGATGCGACTTTATGATATGTCGTTCAAACAACTGATGTCTACCAGTGTCGCTCTTGTAAGCTTCCTTGGTAAGTTCCAATACATTCTTTGCAATAATCATTGTCCTTGCATGTTTCTTGAGTGTTGAGTGAACTTATGCTAGGTCAGAAAAATTGTTAGGCGATCGTGATGGTGCACTAATGCAAGTAGATCACGATAGCCAGAGCATGAATGTATGTCATCAATCAAACTTCCTCTCGGAAGGAATGCCAAGAAAGATTGGACCTGACGCAAAGCGACAGGAAGACTTGGCCACGTTGTTTATGCTGAGCTTCTCGGTTTGGGGTCTGATCAGTTATTAGGGGCGGTAGGTAATACGGATGAGTGTCTGAAACAGTCACACACGTCCACTTTCTCCACACATCTGGTATTCTTACTGTTCAGATCCCCATATTGATGCCCTTTACCTCCTTTGCCTAGTATCTTCTCTTCATCTATCGTCCAGAAATGCTCTCACGGAGGGTGTCCCTGAAAACATCTGAGAAAGTCCTACTCACTGACTTCTCGTGACGGAGTTACTTTTCACTAAGTTGTGGGGACACCTGTAGCTAAAACTGGGTTGATGAACCACGGGTATCTAGCTCATCAAGGTTAGCTAAAAAACCCTAATTTCCACTTTCCTATGACAGGGTATACCAACTGCTCCCGTGACGTGGTCACCTACTGGATCGGGCTATTGGGCATTTTGGGTACCCTGAAGGGTAGGACCATGCTCAACGATCATGTGATCCGATGGATTGTAATGTGGCTGTCAGTGGTCTAAGTGTATATTCCATACACAGTCTGAATTCATACTAAGCGGATGAAAAAAAGCCAAAGATGGTCAAACTGAGACCTGCCTTGAGGGTATGAAAACTCTTGCCAGGAGACGGTCATACCGATCGCGTGAGTCTACCTGGATGAAGACCTCGGGATCATTGTGATCGATAGTTAGAGACACTGAGTGATATGACTGAGTGTCGCAAACAGTGGTGCTCTTTCTTCTCAGTTTCTTTGCAACCTTAGTCTACTGGGATTCTCCATTTCCCTTAGGTTTTACTTTCAAATTTCCAATCATTCTTCCACCCTTTCATCTAAATGCACAGCCAAAAGACAACCGCTACCGGCGCACAAAAGTGCATGGTTAATGGCAAAACATACTGAAACTTTTAGAAATTACTGTAATATGATTTGCTTAGCATAAAGTCTTACCCGGGAAAATTGAGTAGTTAAATGACACCTGCGAAATTGACGCGGCGTTATTCGTCATCCAAACTGCGGCCAAAAACATCATTTTCCACATCCTCTATCCTTGATATTGATCATCTCTTTTGTCGGCTCTTAGGACTGGTTTGACCAAGCAATATTCGTAAAATTGGATTTGAAGTGAATTACTGACTGATAAAAGCGAAACACCCAATCTGTTTTGCATCATGCACAGATCAGGATAATCAAACCCTATTTGGTGCATTTGCCCCACAGTGCTTATATTGCATTAACAATCTGCTTTTACTGGATTCCTTTTTAATAATGTTTTTTCGTTTTTATATCACACCGTTATCTTTCGTCACCAACCAATAATTTTAATCTGGAGGGAGGGGAACGCTGATTGCGTACCAAAATTATGCCCACATTCAGTGATTGGAATACGGCTACAGACAATGTTTTACCATTTGCCTATTTTCGACTACTCAAAGTCACGTGATTTGCTTTCCATTCTGTCTTACCCATAGACTACTTGACCTCGGTTGATAAGCACCAGCTCCTTCGACTCTACTTGAATTGCTTGGTAAGTTTACTTATCTTTTCATATGAAATGTTTAGTACTTTGCTTTTGGAGAGAGACACAGACTTTAGTCTATCTCCGCGAGGTCTCTCACTGTGAAATTAGGTTTTCCTTTGTGTGCTTTATTTCTGGATGTTTTATTTAGTTTGTCCTTTATATAATTTCCATCTGTGGACGGTTGGCTTCATTCAGAACGAGGCTACGGAACCCAAAACAGTGAACGAATTCCACGAACCTGTTCTCTGAACCATTTCAGCGCTTTGAAGGAAAACTAATGAACAAACAGATCTTTTCGTGGTTCGACTAATGTTCAGAGATACATTAAAGCCCGTCGTGATCTGTTGTGACATTTGTTCTGAACGAGCAGTTAAACAGTGAGCTTCTTCTATTGTCCATAGTCACGAGGATCTATCGTTCTATTATGAAACTCGCCCTAGGTTGTGAATTAGGGAAGCATCTCGGGCTCCAGTGAAAAAGGGAATGATTGAGCGCATAACCAAGTGTCAGCGAAGCTGTCTATCACCCGCGTTGGGTAATCTTAGCGGGGTTTGAATGAACTACTTTGCGGACGAAGTATACGAAAGACAGCAATCTCAACTACCTAACCATCACCGCCACTCAATTATTAATTAAGCGGTGACAGCCACCGAAAACAGTTCGTATATGTTAAGTAGTAGTGTATTCAAAATCCATGCAGCTCGCGACGTTTTTCGAGGCAGATAGTGAATGGAAGAAGTGTAGAATGATCAAAATAAAACCTAATGTAAGTCTACATGAACCCTAACCACGAAACTTGCTTACATAACTCGCATAAAACTTCCTGGATGGGGACATTTCGTGTTCATGCTGCCCTCAAAATTCCAATCTTCTCTTTATTCCATCATCTAGGTGGGCAGCCAAAAGACAGCAACCCGAATCACCGCACGAAACGGCATGGTTACTAGTTGTTCACACGGAACTTATTCTCTTTTGTGTCGAGGTTTTGAAAAGTTTAGTGGCCTCGGTGGGACTCGAACCCACGCATGGACACCGCCTACGCCTGTGTTCTCTTTTGAGGATGTTATGCACTGGTTTTCAATAGGCATGGTCGTTGTTTGCTTGTTCCTTCCCCACATTCGTTTGTTCCCTCGTTCAATTTTTCTACGGATTCGACTGCAGAGTTATCGGGAGAACGCAGGTCATTTGTTGGATGAANNNTGCTAGTCCCGAATCCGAATTGAGCGCGTTGTCCACTGTGGATTCTGCACCTACAGATGAATCCTTGGACAAGATGGTTACCAGTGATTCTGGCATTCCAGACACTGCCACTGATTCCAATTTACCTTACGACGGTGCAGATGGTTCATCTCAACTAGACTCCTCCGTCCTGGATGGGGATGTATTCTCCCCAGACCAGTCGTGGAGCCCTTCCTCAGAAACGTCCGCGTACAGTGGAGATCCCCTATCGTCCTCGGNACAGTTACCACCTTCAGTCGAGCCGATGATTCACCAGGCGTTACGCAATCTAACTTGCGCTCCCGGCCCTCTCGATCCAGATGCTTTCGCGGAGGTCGAAACCAAGGTATCTAAAATTTTCGATCGAATCTACTAACTCACGTTGTTCATTGTCGTTTTTCCAACCATACACCATACAATAAACTAAACAGATATATTTAAAATGTGCATTCTGCACTTATTGTTTACTCGCTTGGTTGTTGAGACTAGTTGTTGAAGCTTTTAGAGCTGATAAATTAGAACATATTGAGGGGTTTAGGTAGTGTGGCAGTATTCCGTCCACAATCAATTTAGGACCGGATTTCTTTGTTATAAAAGATTATTGTAATATGACTTGTTTGAATCATAGTGAGACGCTCGTGGAACGTAATATAAGGGGACAGAGGAACCTCGGTTCGGTGCTCCATTGGTCAGTACCTGGTGACCTATTTCATACCATTTTTTCAGGGCAGAAAAGGTCTCGGTATGTGTGTGTGTTTACTTGTTAGTGTTTGAGCTGTGAGTACTGAGACGCAAGATCCAATGAGTGAAACTCCGTTCTATAAGAGATAACGCTTGTTGATTGGTGTACGTGAAATTTGTGGTCGATATGATTCATTCTTTTTGCCCCCTGGTTCCTGTGCGTATATTAGCTGTTCTTAGATCATTCACAATCGTGTCTCTCTCTCTCTCCCCTTACTGCGCCATATGTTTCTCACTTTTTCACTATTATACCTATACCTACGGAAGCAAGTTTTTTTCGATAACGTTTACATGCGGATGCGCAACGTTTTTCCGTACTCTCTTCGAGTTATTGGTTTCCTATTTTTTCTGGATTACCTAATTCCCGATCAGTGTCAGTTGCAATTCGCGTCGTTTTTTATTATTCTCGATCAGCTTTTCAACGAATCCTCATTGCATTGTAGAACGCATCAGAATGCGTCTCTTTGTGCAAATTTCGTTCACATGTTTTCGTTCCCGGCCATGCTGTGGCGGGTTTAAGTGTCAGCTAGAATACAGAATAACTACTTTCTAAATAAAGCAAGGTTTTTGGTTTCAGTCCCATTGATGCAGTGCGATTGTGCAAAATACTAAAGAATATGCTGATCCCACCATTCATAGTTTCCAACAATAACACATTTTGAGTCGTACACATAACTGCTTCATGGCTTACCTAGACCAACTATGCAAAATGACACCGAGTCAGCCTTCCTTCCTTTTCTTTCTTTGAATTCAGCTTTGCGAAATGCTCTCCGACGCACAATGTTTCGGTGCGTTTAAACGCAGTCCGCAATACGTGCAACTGTTGGCCGAGTTGGACTTACTCAAGGAACCATCGGATCAGGTTTCACCCGCATCTGGCACCAGTGGTGCATCAGACCCGCAGCCGGCCACAGCACCAGACAATTCGAATTTGTCCAAACCGCCAGCTTCCGATCAGCTGAGCGTTGCCGCACCGGTCGTCTCGGTTCAACCATCCANTCCAACTAGTTCGGCGTCAAACTCTGCAAGTCCTACATTATCGCTTCCTCACAGTAGCCACAAGACCAGCCTGAGTGAGAATGATCCAGCCTTCGGTGGTACGTTGTCAGTTCATACACAACTTGTTCCTCGACCGGCTCGCAAAATTTATTGTTTGTCTATTTTGAGACATCTGCTTAGGTTAATTTAGGTGAATGGATTAGCATGGTTGTCCGCAGTCACTTCAGTGTTAAACAAAGTTGGCGACAAATACTGTTCCTTGTTATGCGCATGAGACTCTGAAAATAAACGTGTTTGCCAATTAATTATTCTCAAAGCAGGACTATACTGTAGGCTGAACAAGTCAAAAATTTCCCAAGGTGATCTGAAACAAACAGAGGCAATGGAAGTGAGTAATGGTGTAAATAGTTAATTTTCATACACACTGCTCGTGTCCTAAGCATTTCTTAAATAACAAAACTAAAGTTTCTCGTAGAAACGGGCTCCGTGGACCCCCACATCCTGTTTGTGTGGGATTGCGCAATCAGTGTGTATTCATTCGAATTCAAATGAAAATGCAGTTTAGCGAACAAGCTNTTTCGGTGACTCATCAACTGACTAATACATCACATTTGATATTACATCAACAGGCGTCTATCTACAAGAGTTCGGGAACATCATCCGGCCTGGCTGAACACTGGTATAACTAAAACTATTACAAGCGCCAGCATTTTGCACCTCGTCGAGTCCGATCACACAATGAGTGTGAACAAAACATTTCGGCCTCTGTACCGCATCCGATTGAAAATTGCATCATAGCCACAGTGCAGGCGTTTGGAATTCGCCTACATAATCCTCCCTTGACCGCCTAAAACAATTTATGAAGTTACTCAATCTCCCATGGTCCTCCTTCCCACCCCACCCCAGTTCAGTTCAGTTTGTACAACCATTAACCATGCACTTTCGTGCGCCGGTATTGGTTGCTGTCTTTTCGCTGCCCATTTGGCTGACCGTTAGGAGAAAGACAGAACAGGTTGAAAGTAAGATCAAAGAGAAAATTTAGAATTTCAGTGGACGAATGTCGCAGAGCAATTGACAAGATGCACGAACGCCACCGTTTACGACACCCAGTCATATCACTCAATGTCTCCAACTATCTCGGGGTCCCCTGCCAGGGAGCCCAACGAGACCTATGTGACCCAGTCTCCTGTCATTTTCCTGCCTCACGAATCAAGTTATAGGCCCCGATTTGGAATAATTGAATATGCTGTCGTCCCTTTGGTTCACTTTTGGGTACTTTTACGACCGTATCGATGCTGGTGCATTCATCGTACGAAAAGTATGTCTATATTTGTAGGAAAGACGGACGTTATGAGAATGCACATACACAGCCGTCAGTTGCCTGGGTCGTTATCAACCCTGCTGATTGGCTGTAGGTTCTTCATCAGTCACCCTGTTTGGATTGTCCCGCAACGAAACATTTTTAGGGCGAGGGCGATTACTTGGGGGTTTCTGTACCTAAACTGATTCACTGTTTTATTATTCATCTCTCTAATTTTTCACCTGACTCTTTTTTGTAAAGATTCCAAGAAGCGTTCGGATGTGGTATCATCTACGGTGAGTTTTGTTCTATACAATCCATTTTTGTCCCTGTTGATCGCATTCCCTTCTGTCGAACTTGTTAATCATTATGAAATTGCATTTTATTCACTTCGTTTCAAGATTCCAATTCCCGCTTTTAGTTTCTCGTCATTTGAAAAATAAGGACAAATACAACTTTTAGAATTGGATGATGCATTGTTTCGATTGATTTTCACCTTAATGTTACCATTGCTCTCTGTGAAATTTAACCGAATTGGTGAATGTCGTTTATATAAGCTGCCCAGCAAATAGTATGACGTTGACACAGAATTGGTTTCTGCCGGTAACTTACACGTTCAGTATGTCATTCGATGGTAATATGGTGCATTTTCAACCGTCTCCTTGATTATGATTTGGAGAACAGGCATCTCTCTGCGAAGGATGATAGATGTAACTAAATCATTGCAGCCTTCAGCATCGCGGAAACTGTTGTTATCCGATCATCAGCGGTGACATGGTTTGATAGATAGACTTAAGTAATCCGTCTTTGGTCGGAGGTGGACAAGCAGCATAATTATTGATTAAATCACCGCGGAGGTCTTGTATTGGGACCCTGCCACCACCACTACCTATGTTCACCGTTCGTTCCATTCTGTAGCAGCCCGTTGATTGTCAGCTTTCCCTTCCGGAAACCTGACTACCCTTATCTGTCCAATGAACACAGTAAAACTGTTATCGACAAACATCAGTTGCCTAACTCCCTCAAAACGTACTGGCCACGTTTCGCAGTCGTCGATCGATATCTGACTAATGGCAACCTCAACATATAAACCATGAGATATGTATCTTTGGATCAAAGTTACTAAGGTTTCCGAGCGTTTTGCGAAGCTATAAAGTTGCATTGGAACATCTGTTCACAATGGGCTCTGTACAGCTGAACGCAACAATACTTGGAAATCTGAATACTCTGAAGTCGGTTTTAGTTCATGGGTAGCGCCCTCGGTAAAATGATCTACTCGGTTCTAACTAGTTCGAGATGAGTCATTATTTCACCCAAAATAAAAGCCCGTTTCTGATCAATCAGAACAATACCGGGGTCGAGGCAATCAACGAATCTGTGCCCCGTCAATATCCCCCTACTTGAGGGCATAAATGGCCATCTCTCGTTACGCATAAACAAAATCACTGCTGTTTATTTATGAAGAGACGTTGCTTGAAACAAACTATATCAATT